ATTGTCTTTATTCTCCCATACACACAAAACAACTAACTTAAAACAGAAGACACATGGAGAATTAATGGATACAAAAATCAAACTGCGTACACGAGCTGAAGGTGATGTATCGTTTACTCTTTGGGAAACTAGTCTGTAAAATTACAATAGATTTTTAATTCTCGCATATAGGTTTGAATCGGCAAAATGTTGTCCACACATTTACAAAAAAACCGTTCTCTTCATTTATTATAGTCTAGAGATTCATAAATAAAAAATGTATATTTTGTTCAAGATCAATTCAGATCAGAGTTAACAAAAACAAATACTAAAGTTAACTAGTTAAGTTATATAACAAAAACTAAAGTTTTATCGATTCTTTTTCTTTTTCACTCTTTAAGGGACTCCCTCCTTCAGAAATTATGTCCGATACGATACATCGGATCTTGACGAAACTTTTCATAAATGTTCGGCACAATGAGTTACGGAAATGGAAAAATGTTTTTGTCTCCAAATCTTATTTAGGAGTTTTCCAGAGATCAAGGTCCAAAAAGGACCCAGGAGTGCGTCCGAAGATTTTTTAATATACTTCAAGCTGGAAAGTTCGGGTTTGTCTTATTTTAAACTAGACACCTAACTACATCGACTGACCGGCGCCGATTTTTCAATTAAGCCTTCACAAATCCATAGGTCAACAGAGTTCATCGGTTATGAGGTACAACCAATTTATCGTTAACCACGCCACTTTATATATCATGCGATAGAGAATTTCACAGGCTACAAAATGATATATATAATATTGAGAATAAATGGGGCCTGTGCGTCCTAATACTAGAAATACTACTGGAGAGTGATATTTTCGGCTTCGACGGATAGACTAAATCCATATCAAACCGACCGCCATTTACATCGACCTTTGACGTCAGTGACGAGACCTACCTCATATTATAGAGCTCAGCGGGCTAAACCGAATGGCGAAGACCGCAAGTCTCTAGTCTTGTTAGAAGCAGAGCTATAGCCATTTTACTCGCGCAGCAGAAAAATGCATTTTCGTCATTTTCCGGTGGATTTGGTCTAACTTGCAGAACGTCTGCTGAAAACATTCCCTAACGTAGAACCCCGAAGTTGGTATCAAATGAAAGAGCGCGTCGAGTTCTATATATTTTGATGGAGAAAAGTTATGCTACACCTCGGAGTCTTGAGATAGAGATTTCTGAAAAATCCGGTTTTCTAGAAAACCTAGTGATCTCAAAGTTTCTCTCAGAAGCTTTTCAATCATATCACTAGATAGTCCCTTCAATTCTCCATAAAATGAGATGCTGGCCAAGTTGGGACACACAGGTCCCATTTGTTCTCAATATTATATATATCATTTTGTAGCCCGTGAAATTCTCTATCGAATGATATACAGTAGTTGAGGTTTGCTTTGGGCAAAGAGAAGAAATGGGAAAAATACTCTAAGTAAAGTTCATTTAAGGGGAGAAAAGTTTGGATGCGGAATTTTTTCCAGGGGGGTGAAAATGGTTTTTTTGAGGTGCTAGTTTTAATCACGGAGAAAAACTACATCATACTTATGAATATGAGCTTGATCTGAGAGGGGGCCGATTTTGCCTCTTATCGACCCCCGTCCTTTTTAGATTAAATATGTATTCTTATTTGAATATTCAATATGCTCCAGCTTCATACGTAGGTCGATCACCATCCAATGCATCATTTATAAAAATACGGTATGGATTTTTTTATCTATCTTAGTATTTTTCGAGAACATATATTACTAATATTCTTGCAGTGATGATGCAACAGAAGAAGCTGAATTGAACCGAATCGATGATGCTAGACAATCAAATCAATTAAACCAATCTTACATAATCCAAACGTCACTAACTTACAACCACTCTACAATTTATGATAGAATGCAAGAAATATCCGTCTGTTTGGGGGTACCGTCTGGACTTTATGTACAATTCAATTACGTAAATGTTAGTTCTAATAGTGAAATAAACGAGCAAATTGTGTCTGTTCAATATAAGTAAGAATTAATTGTTTACCATCTTTTGTCTCGACAAGTGATTTTTTTTATTCTAGTTATACCCATTCGGACTGGCAATTTCAATGCGGGACTTGCAGTAATACTACAACACAACGATTTTTAGTTACTTTTCAAGTAGATTTTGTTGATGTTACTAGGTAAGTAATGAGTATTTTGATTTACAACAATTGATTTTTTCCTTATTCTTAAAGACAATATTTTGATATAAATACCGTCAGTCCATCTGATTTAACGGCCAGCGATGATTATATTCAACATTTACTATGGTTAGTGACACCGGAATATGCAGGTGAGGAAGGCTATAGGAAATATACCATCACATTGATATTAATTTATATTGTAATCACAATTGCTGTTATGCATATCGTCATTTTTGGATGCGTATGTCCGTGTTGATAGCTACATGAGAAATATCAAACAGATTAATATTGCAGAGCTGTTCTGTCGATTTACCGAAAGAAAGATAACCGGTTAATGATATAAATTGCTTATTAAATGGCGAAATAGTTGTTTTCGTTTTTTTGTACGTTTTTAAATTTTGTATGTTAGTTGTTATTTTTTCTGTTATCAGCTAGCTGGTCTAGTAATCAGTCAACTTTTGAAATGACAAATTCATTTTAATGAAGTGATAGTACACATATATTGCCTCAATTTAAAGTGAGTTTATGTAGTGAAATAGCCTGTCAAAAGATACCACAAAAGATCCTGTAAATTAGGTTGAGTGTTTCGACTTTTTTAGCTATTTTGACGTATTTTATTATGTAACAAAAAAAAAAATAATGATCGGAAATGTCAAATAATCTTATTAGCATCTGGAAAAAAACAAATTTCAAAATACATAGATCACGAATACACGTTGCTTGATGCTGAGATTAATCAAAAATATTGTTTATTGGTTTTATCTGTCAGTTAACAAACTTACTATTTTTCTAAATTGCCTGTACATATTGTTTGATTTTTGGTTTGTCCAATACTAGAACATTATAAAAACAATAGTTGGAGTAATGTCTTGATAACTAAACTATTAAAAGTATTAAACGAAATTCAAAAAAAGTTCAATGCATACACATACCGTGTGATAGAAACCTAGAAAAAAGCCTGTGATTGAGCAGAGGTGGCATTTTTCTAGATCTCACAATCAAATACAATACCCGATATAAACTTGCTACTAAATATTTTTTTCTTTTGGTTCTCAGACGTTTATTAAGAGCACTTTAAGTTCATGAGAAGAGAGAATAGTCTTCTAAAATCTCCCGATTTCCAAAATCTTCTTTTCTTCAGAAATACTTCGTTCAGTTTTTTATTGTTTATTCGACCATTACTTTTGACAAAGTTCTCCATGAAATTTCTCATATGTAAATATCAAATGAACTCAAATGAAACAACAGAGTGTACTAGCAGAAACTTCAAACAGCAGAATATATCAAAGAAGCAATATGAGTGTACTGCATTCTCAATTGTTGGTTTTTTACTCTTTTTTGTGCAAAAACCAACCGTGAGTAACAACTCTCATTGAATAATAATTGCAGATACACAGGGGCATTTTTCTATAGACCAGGCGGACATGTGGCTTTTTAGTTCAGAAAGAGGCTATCTTTGCTCAACAGTACTCTGTTACGTTTGAAATGTTATTATAAATTAAAAACACCAGAACTCGGAAAAAACTTTTTAGACAAAAAATCCCTGAGAGGGACCTAAATTTTGCCGGAAAATGTTTTTCCTCAAAAATGGTTCTTAGACATATCAACCGACGCAGTTTTTCGCGCGGAATCCGAATATATATAAATTATTCAAGTAAAGTAACATATAAGAGTAGAAAAGTCCAACATATCTAAAAAACAAAGGATTCTTAGAAAATCGGTAAAACAAATTGCGAGATTTTGAGAGTATACTACAGATACAGGATATACTAAAGAACATTTTGGTGAAAAAATAAGTCAGATTGCACCTCCGCTAACTCGTACATTTTGATTATACTGTACACGTCTGTTTTCCTAGCGTTTTCCTTATATCACTACGTTTTCTTTCTCGAATAATTCGAGATGTCGCGAAAAAGAGAAACCAAGTATTACACGAAAGACTACTAATGAAGAAAGATATATCACGGAGTTGAGGAGGAAGTAACATCAGAAGGAGAAAAATATTTCTTTTCCGTTCGTATACATTGATTTACTAACAAATTGTTTTATGATAATGTAAACGGTTCCATTCCTTCACTTTTGCTTATCCATGAAACGCCACCACTTTGCGATTCAAATGCATTTGATACGATATTCTTGAGCAAGACATATTTATCACTTGAATACTTTGCCTGTTCATAGGTCGAAAATGTTTTATTCAATATTAAGTTTGGACAACAGAATTTTAATAAATCATTATTACTCGAAATAAACATTTTTCGATAATTTTGATACACCACGGTAATGTCTAAAATAGAGAAAAAACACGAAATCATTTATCATATTGTTTACATTTTAAGCAAAGGTTAAGTATAGCTCAATATTCGCTTGTGTTTCGTTTGCTATTCCAACAGTCCTTTCGTTCTTTTCCTTGACGCTTAGCACTTTCAGAATACGTGCCAACTTCAATTGACACATGTAGTAGTTCCCAGAGCCGCTATCTTGTTGTAGCTCAAAACATTAGCTTCGAGGTTAGATGCTACATACTAATTGCATCGATGAAACGCACATATGAAGAAGACGTACTGGTCTTTAGTTTCTTATTGTCATCGTTTGGCTTATAAGGATGTGCGGAGGTAAAGAAATCGATCTCTTAGGATGTGACGTATCACAACGTTTTTCTGTAATACTACCAAATATTTATTAGTGAAGAAAAACACAATATACTTGAGAAAATGGAGACACAAAACAAAATTTGATCATCTGACAAAATAAAATTGAGACAAAAACATCTTTAAATTAATTTTTCCTGGTTTGAGAGAATGCATCATTTATTTCTAAGTCGATTAAACCTATTCACTCGCTGGTGGTGTCAATGTCAATGAGTAAACCAATTGATATTTAACTTGAGGAAACGAAAATTTATAGAAATTTCCTAAAGCCAATGCATCTTCTTGCTCCCATTTTCCAGGAATACAGACTGGCACAGGCAGCGCTTCCCCACGATAAACACTGGATGCATGAGTTACAGTGGATAACTTATCATAAATGCTTGAAAATGCTTCTTTTATTTGATCGACTGTAGCACTAATTCCATTTTGTCCTTCACTATCTAATGATACAAAATAATATCGGATATCATCACGAATAAATCCCAATAACACATTTTTCTTCTTTTCCCCTCTTCTATCCGATAACTCAATTAAATGTTGCAAAGACAGAATACCTCGTTGCATATCAGCTCTGTAGTATAGATCTGATTGTTGAAGTTGACGAAGAAATATTTTCGAATCATTCGAAGGTTGATCCAATGTCATAGAATCCGCCGTATAATATCCCCGTAATGCTTCGAAAGAATAATACAGGTCTTGCTCCACTTGTATTAACCGCCCTTCAATCAGCGCACGTGCGAAGGCAAATGTACCGGCATGAATCGAACCATTATAAGACATAATGAGTCGACGTTGACTTTCTTCTATCACGTTAATCTTCTTCATACTACCTATTAAATGAGTTTGACACTTAATCAATTCATTTTGTTCATCTTCCCTGATTGAAAAGAGTCGAGATCTTAAATCATTTGATATGTTTTTCTTGATATCTTCATGAGATTGGGACCAGTCAATGTTTGCCATAGTAGTATCAATTAAATTTGAAATTGATACGTTTTGCATCATGTGTGTACGATTATTGTGCAATCTGAAATGAGAAAAACAATTCTTTTTTGAAGTCGTCTTCGTATTCAAGAAGAAACTTAGACAACATAAAATCGACACTCGCACAATCCAGTTTACCACGAAAGCCTTCAAGGAAAGCGTAGAGTTACATCTAACGGTACATGAAAAGCAGTAAATTTTCCAGCATCCTTCATTTAGATTTCTAGTCATCATCATCATCATCACTCGGCTGCTCTGGAGCAGGCGATCACAATCTTCTTCCATTTGTACTTACTCTTAGCATCATTTACAATGTCCATCACTTTCCAATACTTCTTATCGCGAATACCATTATTTAGCAAGTTGAACACATAACCAAGATAGTCCTGGGGTTGCTTTCCTGGATTGTTTGTACCATGCAATGGTTGATAGAAGCCAAATTTTATCAAGGGCCCAGCATCTGGACTTCTGCAAATATGTTGTACCCATTCGAATTGCCTGTTTTAACAATTGTCTTTATCAGCTTGTCCACATCTAGTCTGTTGTATATGGTGGCATTGGAAATATGATCGCTACGCCTGATTCCAAACATTATTCTATAACAGCTACTTGCGAAACTATTTAGTTTACGTTTCATCTTTTCCGTTATAAACCATGTTTCACTGCCATGAATAGGCAGGATGACTGAAACAGATTAACTTTGATGGCACCTGGCAGATGATTACTTCTCCAGATTTTTTCCAGTTTCCAAAAAGCTGGCCATGCTTGTCTGATTCTTATGTTTACGTCCTTTTCTGATGATTGAGACAAAAACATCTTTAAATTAATTTTTCCTGGTTTGAGAGAATGCATCATTTATTTCTAAGTCGATTAAACCTATTCACTCGCTGGTGGTGTCAATGTCAATAAGTAAACCAATTGATATTTAACTTGAGGAAACGAAAATTTATAGAAATTTCCTAAAGCCAATGCATCTTCTTGCTCCCATTTTCCAGGAATACAGACTGGCACAGGCAGCGCTTCCCCACGATAAACACTGGATGCATGAGTTACAGTGGATAACTTATCATAAATGCTTGAAAATGCTTCTTTTATTTGATCGACTGTAGCACTAATTCCATTTTGTCCTTCACTATCTAATGATACAAAATAATATCGGATATCATCACGAATAAATCCCAATTAAAGTCGCGTTGCCGCCGCGCGATCTCGATAAAATCGTATTTTTTTGAAAAAGTATCTTGTGAGGCTCGCGAAGCTAATTAAAACTCGCGGCGGGACGAAATAGTATACTGTGTCCATAGGCACGTGTGTGATTGAAGATGTGTTTTTGTTACTGATAATCGGTCAAATAAGGATGAGTGAATAAATGACTGTGACTCCTCGTATGCCGACATATAGACTATTAGCTATCTTCTGTTCTCTTTCTTCTTTTCTATTCTTTTACTTTGAATCGAGCGACCATCTTC